CCCCCCCCCCTTCCTCTCTCTCAACCTCGCTCCTTCCTCCCGCTCCGCAGCCTCACTTTTCCTATCCGAATTCCCCGCTTTATGTAGTTCACTGCTGCCAACTTTTTCGCGTGCGGGAGGGCAACTCTCACGGCGCCGAAGCACGGCCGCCGCGCCACCTCCGCACCACAGCCACACAAACTCAATTTTTTGTTGTTGTTTCCCCTCTCCCCTTTAATTTGTACGATTGATTGTGCTCTCTCCTTCGATCCTCACTTCCTCTTCCAATCCTCTACTTCCTCACATCCCTCCGATGCCCCCTTTCTCACCCGCAGAGAAACATCGCCTGAACTCTCCCGCCCCCACTCATTCCTCCTCTCGCCATTCACCGTTGATTTCTACTTCGTCCCGTCCCTGAGGAGCCTCCTCCTCTCTTCCTGCTCCCGGTTCCATCCCTCTCTCTCTCGTTCCTCTTCATCGGCCCCGCGTTTCGGTCTAATTCCTATCAGGGCTGCGCATGTGGGCGTGTGATGGAAATGCCTCCACCTCCTCCCTCGCCCCGCCACGCCCCGCCACGCCCTGCTAGGCCCACCACTCCGCGCCACGGCCGCGCTGCGAACTTGGACCGGGCGCGGCCGTACAGTGGAGTGAAAGAGCTTAAGGGGGGCCTAGGAAGGCCTGCCGGGGCGGGGCGGGGCGGCGCGGGCCGCTTGTAGTGAGCTAAACATTGAGGGGAACTCGTTTTCCCGCATCCACTGCCGTCGCCGGGGGGATTGTGTGTGTGCGTGTGTGTGTGTTGTGTGATATGTCTTTTCGGAGTCGCGCGGCCGGAAGATTAAGGAAGAGTCTGGCCTTCTCCCCTCCCGCCCCACCCCGCCCTACGCACACCACCCCACCCCGCCACCACCACCACACTATGTAAATAGACTGTTCAGGTGATTCTCAAGCCGCGCGCACTTATCAAGCGCGTAATCCCATTTCCCCCCTCCTCCTTACTCCTCCCCGGGGCTCCCTGAGGGTAGTACGGCGTGGCGGCGTGGCGAGGGGAGGAGGAGGAGGAGGCTGTAGTGGAGGCGCCCGGGGCGTATATATGGCGCACGTGTGTGTGTATGTGCGCCCCCCATACCGGGCGGACCCGTATTGCCATGAATAAGAGAATACACGTTTCGTTGGCTTCTTTGCCCCCCGCGGTGAACCCTTTCCGCATTTAATGATTGAAGGGCACGAGGTCAAGCTGACCTGCTGACCCTGACCCGCAGCAGTTTATTCGCACGGGCGCGGACCCGCGACTCCTTGAGAGAGAGAGTGAGACTCACTTGAAAGTCGCGCGCGGAAAATGGCCCCCGCCGTCTCAGATCGGATCGCATGAAGGTAGTGCCTGTCCGGGCGTGCCGGCGGCGGCAGCAGCGACGAGGTTACCGGCCCGCGGTCCCGACTCTCCCCCGCCGCGCCCCACGCGCCCCCTAACCCCCGCGTCCCGCGCTACAAGGGGAATACGGAATCAGTCGTTTGCTCCGCGGGTGCGTCCGACGGCAACCTGCACCCCCCCCCCTCTTTCCCCCTCCCTGCTGCTGGCGCCTCTGCTTCCCTCTCTTCAACCTAAAGGTTAGCATATGATTTAAAAAATACTCTGTGACGAAGGGCCAACCTCTCGGCTTTTGAGTTGCAATGAACATATTTTTTTACCACTAATAAAAGAAAGAGCAAATAAGGTTTAGGTCACCGCGATTTCTTATAAAAGTCTGCGAAAGTGACATGAGTGGCCGACCCTTCATACCCACAGGCAACCGAATTGGTGGGTTGGACGCAATTGGCAGCAGAGCGGCCAACACGTTCGCGTCCACATTCAGCCGCCGAGTCGCACCGATCAAAACACGCCGAGTTCAGGGAGGCGAGACTGATGTGGCCCGGGGAGAGCAAAGGGCCACGACTGTGACATTATTCAATGCCGTAAGACGAAACTAGTTACACTATCAAGATTGTTCTAAAGTTTAAAATAAACTTAAATGACATTGGTATTTGAGACCTCCTTAAATGACTGTGGCCATCGAACGAGAGCAGCAGACATCCGTTTGTTTCTTCTCCTCACCATCACCTTCCACCACCCTCCAAACACACAGCACTTTCCCTCCCTCCTAATGGAAAGCAGCGTACACTGACCTTTTTCGATATCGGAAAACTTATTCTTTGCTTCCCCCTCTTCCTCTTTTTTTTTGTTTGGTCCGGGCCGCCGGGTGGCTCTCGCGCCCTTTCGTTAATGAATGCTAGCAGGTTAATGAGCGCGGCATGGGGCCTATCTCGCGGTGTAGCGACCATCGATTCTACCCCCTCCTCCTCCTCCTCCTCCACCCCCT